GTTATGTATTAAAGGACAAGGGGAAATAGGGAACATGTATGAGAGTACCTTTGCTTTAACTAGGGCGCTTAACACGCGCGATATGCATGCCATATCTAGTCATATTCGTGGATTTCTTTCTTACGTAAACAAATATTGTAAATAAATTTAGTTGTTGGGAGCATTAATGAGGGAAAATATGTAAACATATTCTTAGGGGTATAAATGTCCACATACTACTCTTAAGAGTTTTAAAAAAAGCAATTAACATCAATGAGGGCAAATAATAAGTAAATAAACATTTTAGAGAGTATAGTTGTCCAAACATTACTCATAAAAGTTATTTGAAAATGTTAAGGAAGATAAGATAGAAAGAGAATAAGACATTTATTAAATAGACCAAATTGGGCTCAACACTCTGAACTATGACTTAGATGCACCCAACATCAGTAGCCAAAACACCACAAATTAATGGCTTGGGTGCAAAGTGTGCTTTTAATGAGCATTCCAACCAATATTCTTGTCGGAGTCGATGAACATTCCATTTATCTAGAGTAGTTAAATTTTTATTTTTCGATATGCGTGTCGAAATATGCCCTATTAAGGTTTTCGGAGGTCATTTTGTTCTTTAAGGGTCCGAATTGAGCTCGGAATAAGCAAAAAAATAACATAAATGACTCGTTTGGCATGTCAAGAAACATTTCGATCAGCGTGCCGCTATTTTTTAGCAATGAAAATTACTCAAGCAAGGTTTTGGGGATCATGTTAGTTTAAAATGATCCAAATTGAATTCAAAATCGGCAAATAAATAACATACTTTTAGGTACGAACTAATTGAATCATTTTATGTGTCTATTTTGTTATATCTTGACATGCAAATTGTGGCATTTACGTTATATTTTTTGCCAATTCCAAACTTAATTTTTCTCCATAAAGTACCAAATTGACCCCCAATTCATCACCTGAGCTATTTTCACGGCTAAAAAAATTAACGACAAGCAAATGGAGATATTTCTTAACCCGCAAAATGAGTCATTTACGTTATTTTTTTTTTTATTTCGAGCTCAATTCGGATCCTAAACCTAAGGGACCAAAATGACTTTCGAAACCTTAACGGGGCATTTTTCGGCACGCAAATCGAAAAATAAAATCTTAATTATATTAAATAAATAGAAGGTTCATCGAATCCGGTGAGAATAGTTGTCGGAATGCTCATTAAAGGCACGTTTTGCAACCAAGCCATTAGTTTGTGGTGTTTTGGCTACTACGCAAAGTACATGGTGTTGGGTGTACCTAAGCCGTGGTTCATAGTGTTGAGACCAATTTTGCCTATTAAATAAAATTAGGCCCCATACAATTCAATTATATGGAGCATATGATAAAAAAAATTGAATATAAGGTTGTCAAAAATAAAATAAAGTTAATGTGATTAGAGTTTAGAAAAGTTGATGAAAACTATAAGTGAGTAAAAAATAAGGGGATGGAATAAATAATCATAAACAACTTATCATTCATCAATATATATATACTCCCTCTGTTTTTAAATAATTGCTCCACTTTTCATTTCCGGCCATTTTTAAATATTTGCTCCATTTCCTTTTTTGGAAAGCTTTTACAATATTCAATTCATATTTCTCAACTAGTGGACCCAACATAAATCATATATTATTAATTTCATATTCTCTCTCCTCCAATTCCCTCAACTATTTTTTTTTATTTTTTTTTAACAATTTTTTATTCTTCCACCTACCCCACTATCTCCATATTTTATTACTTTCTCCCATTTCTCCTAAAACTCCGTGCATGGAGAAATGGAGCAAGTATTTAAAAATGGAGGGAGTAATACTAAAGCAAACACTAGAAATGACACGTGTCAATTTTTGGTGCAATATTTTCCCTCCAAAACCATTATTCCTCTTTTCTTACAAAAATCTTTTTAGAAAGTATTTTTATAATATGTTTTCTTATTAGTCTTTTCATTTCTTTTATATATATAGCAACTAAAATTTTATTCAAAATATGTTATAACTGGTATCTTTTTTTGCCAAAATCTATTAAAAGAATATTTGTATAATATGATTTTCTATTTTGTTATTTTTTGGGGTTATCATGATTTTTTATTTACATAGATGTGTGTTGAGAAAATTAAACTAATCTTACTATTTTCTTTTCCACAAAAGGTCGCAAGATTACTTTGACTATCGAGCTAAACTCTCTTTCCTCTATTTCATTTCATCTCATCATATCCCATCCCCTATTTTGTTTGTTTTCTTATCCACTTCCTACATACCATTGATTAAGGATTGATGTATCAAACATTATTATTGTAGTAAGTTACATATTGATTTTGAAACTTTTTTTTTTTTTAATAATATACAACTTTACGAATTTTTATTTTTGTTATTTTTTTAATTTTAATATACTAAAAGAGAGACCATGAGGGACACATGTCAACTCCAGGTTAAATTTTTTCCCACCAAAATATTTTTTCTATTTTTTTAAAAATCTTCTTTAAAGCTATTGTATATTATAAAATATGTTTCCCATTTTTAAGCTAACATGTTTTTTCCAAATGATTCTATACATTTATATTAGGTATATATAAATCATGCATGATGAGTTTAAGTGTGGTAATACATTAAAATAATATTATTACCTAAGAATCTAAGATTTTATAATATGAGTATTATTCTTTTCTTTTTTTGGTCATGATTTTTATTTTATATAATTTTAACGGATTTTTCACCAAATATCACTGGGTTAATGCGTAATTCACCATATACCACACAAAATTTTCTAATTCACCATATAACACTGAGTTTAACATAAATGTCACAACATGCCATTTCCGTTAACTCAGTTAGTCATTAACGTTAATTGTGCCACGTGGCAGCTTGTAATTGGTTCTAATTAATATTATTTATTTAATTAATTAAATTTAGATAAAATATTTTAAAAAATAAATAAAAATTAAACACCACCAATACAAGCCACCGCCACCCCTGGCGGCAACAATTGCGATCCCAACCACTTCCCAGATGGCCGGCGACTGCCCTCCCCTGGCCCCTTCCCCCCCCCCCCCCCCGGCGACAATCTCGACCCCTTCCCCCTACGCCGGCGACCATCCCACTCCTACTCCCCTTCCCCGAAAATCATCCCCCACCTGTAATCCAATTCCCGATTTCCTCGCCGGACTCCCCTTCCCCGATTCCCGATCTCTCTAACCCTAAAAAAATCCTCAATTTCCCTCTTGAAAATCCCAATTGGAATATCGACGGCAAAGAAACCACCCATCAAATCTTGACGAAGAGAGAGAAGGTCGAATTAGAAGCGAATTTGTTCGAAAAAATGCTGATAAGTCGAATTGATGTTGTTGTATGGTTGAAGATTTTGAGTGTTGTCGGTTCAGGGGGAGAAGGGGGAGAGGGAGGCCGACGCGCTGGCGAGAGAAAGGCTGGGCGCCGGCGTGGGTTGGGGCGGGATAGGGTGGTGGCTGGGGGTTCCAGTCATATTTCGTGCAAGCAGGGGATGTTAGGATAGGGTGGTGGTTGGCTGGGAGACGTTGGTGGTTTGGGAGGAGGACGGGAAGGGGAGATGGCAGGGGTAGGGGGAGCTCTGGAAGGCCGGCGAGGGAGGAGGCTAGGCAAGGCCGCCGGCGAGGGAGGAGGCTGGGCAAGGCCGCCGGCAGGGAGGGGGAGCTGGGCTGGTGGGGGAAGGGGGTGTCGGGGTTGGTGGAGTGAGGAGGTGGTGGCTGTTTTTTTTTTAATTCTTTATTTAACTAATTAATTAGATAATATTAATAAGAGCCAATATGTGACAGCCACGTGACATAATTAACTTTAATTACTAACGACGTTAACGGCAGACTAACGACAGTCAACAAAAAGGGCATTCTGTGTTAATATACATTAACTCAGTGGTATATGGTGAATTAGAAAATTTTGTGTGGTATATGGTGAATTACGCATTAACTCGGTGGTATTTGGTGAAAAATCCGTAATTTTAATATAGCCAAATTGTCTTGCTAACAAATATATTGATTATTATGTCATAAGATAGAAGATGTATATCCCTATAGTTAATAGCCATAATAATTAGCAATGACGTTGTTAAATACGGGTTTGGGCCGCACCCGCAAACCAAGAGAGAGAGAGAGAGAGAGTTCACTTCACAAGTCTAAATGAAGTTTCATTCCAAAACCATATGGCAATAGGAGGAATAGCCCGTTAGCCTTATAAAGTGATTAAGGCTCTCTTTTTCAACCAAAGTGGGACACTTACATATGGTGATACTTGGAAGGTATATTATTAAACAGACGTGTCGGAACTTGGTGCATAAATTTTCCATCAGAACTTAAAACAAAAATTAAGAATAATATCCAACACAATTTTATTTTATTTTTATTTTTTATTTGGAGTACTTTTTAAATTATTCTTTTTCATCTAATATGCATATGTGGTTGTTTTTATTAATAGCAAACCCATCTAAACTTTTGATGAGAAGTGAATACATGAGATTGTAAATATCATTAACCTTATTAATAGTGTATTTCTTTTTGTAAGTATAATGCAATATGTAATTTTAACTAATCAGTCAAAGAGATTATAATTTACAGGTGATGCAGTTTCTCAAAAAAAAAAAAATATTAGTAATGTGGAAATTTTTCCTATATTACTTCAATAAAAATGCATAAAAAATTTAATAAGTAATTACAATATTTTTATAATCAATGTATAGGGATATTAGACGAAAAATCCACTAATTGTAATAACAAAAACAAAAATACCCTACTCACTAAAGATTGATAAATAAAAAAAAAATAATATATAAGATCTACTATTGCCTAAAACCTTGTACCGGTCAAAGTATATCTACTAAATAGGGATTTAGAAAGTTATCGCGCAGTACCAACGTATTGATGTTTTTGTCAAAACTTAGGTATAAAATTCAAATTAATTTATTTTTATATAAATATATAATTTATTTTTTTATATAGAAATTATTGTAAAAGTAACTACCAATAACAGATTGCAATCCATTGTAAAATTTTTGTCAAAGATCGTGCGTTGTATGAGATCTAAGCTAGTTAAAAAAAATAATTATAATATGATGGAGTATTACATAATAGCCACTTTATACGAGTATGTAATAAAACGCCAATTAAAACTGGATCTCATTCATTTAAATAATACTTTACAGACATAAATACACTTGCATTACAAATCAAAAGAATAAATAAATAATCCTTCACCCACAATCACACTCTAACCCGAAAAATAATTAAGACAACCTCCAAATATAACTTAATTAATTATTAATAATCCTACAATTCTTTCTAATCTCACCATTAACACCAATGAGAACTTCAATTGAACCCATATGAACCATAGCTTTACCAAACTTGTTAGCCCAAACACCACCTTGCCTATTGTAGTTCTTCACCACACTCGATGTCGTAGGACTACTCATTAGGCTTTGATCCGAGGTCAATAGATCCCTTTTGTTTAGCACATTTTGATAGTACTTGTTGTCCAATCTATTAGGTGTGATGAAATCTTGAACAATAGTTGGATCAACATTGCTAGGAGCATTATTACTAGGGCACTTGGATTTTAACATATTAGCAAATCTAGGATCCATTAAAGGGTCTTGTGGGTGTGTGGCGTTGAAGGTGTAAAGTCTTTTGGTGAAAGAAGAACAATGCGAAACTCCAATAGAATGAGCCCCGGAAAGGGTGATCATTTCCTCCACAGAAAGGCCTTTTTGTTCAAAACTTTTTTGTAGTTGTTGTAGGTTGAAAAAGGGTGCAGGTAAGTTTTGGTCAGGGTCATCCTTAAGTGAAATTCTCCCATCACGACGACCTGATTGTACAACGTAGTTTATCCCTCCTAACTTGGAAGCACTGTCTCGTGCTGCAAAGGCTATGATATCTGCACAAGAGACGGTTTGTGGGCATCGAGCTTCAAGCTGCTTCTTTGCTTCATCAATCACTTCATAACCTCGCATACTTGGGTCATTTGCTACATTGTCTTTCTCAGCTGGAATTCCCGGGGTTGAATCAAGTAAAATCGAAGCATCACAACCCTGAAACCATAACGATAAAAATAAAATTAGGTTGGCTTGCACATACATGACCATAAGATTGATGTAAGCTAAGATAAATAGGATATATATAATGTTACACTATAATCATACGTAAGTTACGTACCCTAACAAAACAATCGTGAAAATGCATTCTAATAAGGCCAGCTCCTAAACCAGGATTCCTAGTGACCGCATTGTTGACTACATTCCTCACAACAGCCTCCGCGGAGGGACAAGTCCGTTGATAAAATCCCACCTTTAAAGAAGACGGCGACGATTGGGCAGTAGATGTATACATACATATCGTGGCAAGAAAGAATAGCATACAAAACAACGATTTCGACATTTTCACTCACAATCACAAAACTGCTAATTCACTAATAAGTTTACAACTTGTATGTTAGTTATCGTGCTAAATTAATGTGTTGTATTAATAATGGATGAAGAAACTTGGAGGAATAGGATTGAGTTTATATAGGTAGGCATGCGTTGTTAAAATTTGAATGAAGAAAACGTGTAGTCACCTTAGCAAGAATTGAATAGTTCCATACAATTACTGTACACTATATTATCATTTTTATCAAAGCTGGAAACTAGCAAGTGGATATGGGTACTGTTTATGGTTGGGTATTTTCGTCATTTTAAACTAAATCAAAAACATTATTTGAATATGTTTAGACACCAACGCGGCAACGCCGTTATAAACATAGCTTAGATCATTTAATATACTTTATAAACATCGTTGATACACATGCATGAAGTAATAACTTTGAATATTAGAATTGAAGTTGAATTTCTTATTGTCAACTTAGGATAAAGTACTCCTTGAGTTTAAATTAAAAGGTTTTATAAGGATAACACTAAATTAATTTTTGGTGTTTAGAGAGCCCACTACAAGAGCGGTTGATGAAAATCGATCCCCTAGAGTTAGGAGAGAAGCTCTAACCACATAAGGTATTCCTCACTCTCATAGGGATTATTACACCATATTAATACGGAGTACTTTTGAATAGTTTAGACTGTAACTAGAATTTTGGCCCGGGTAATACTCCGATCATTACAAGACATTTGCAATTATATGTTTAGTTCTTGATCATGACTCAATTAAATTATGGTTCAATACATTTTGATTTATTTATTTATTTATTTTGGCAAAAGATAATATAAAATATCATATAGCATAGTGACAACACATTTAGTGTTAAAATTTGAGGTTGCATGTTCAAATTATGTATAGAAAAAATTTATTATTTTTTAAATTTAATGTAACAATGTGTAATAATAAACAATGAATGATGAAGAGCTCCATGTGGCACATAAAAAATTCCCTTAAAATGTTTTTTTTTTTTTTTTTTTTTTTTGAGAAACTTTAAAATGTTTTTTTGATAAATAAAGTATATAGAGTATCACGCACTATGATAAATGACAAGGAATCACCACACTCACGTGTTGCATTTTTTAAAAATATGAACTATATTTACTGACTTAATTTTACATTAAATTACTCATTTATACACCACTGATCTTATTCGTAAATTTCATTTACATACTGCTAAACTAGTGCATACACCTCTTCCCGGACCACCCTTTCTTTAACTAACAGTGAACTTCTTGCAGATCAATCTGAGTACAGGAGTATGGTAGGAGCTTTACAATACTTGACTATGACTAGACCCGATCTTACTTATGCTGTTGCATTTAGTGTATCAGTTTATGCATGCTCCATATACTACTCACCTTGTTGCTGTTAAGCGTATTTACAGGTACTTGATAGGTACTGCAGATCATGGCATTTGGTTTCGTCCATTAAAGGACAAGTCTATTATCATTGCCTACTCAGGTGCAGATTGGGCAGGTTGTCCAGACAGTTCTCGTTCCACTTCCGGGTATGCTATTTTTTTGGGAGATAATCTCATTTCCTAGCGCTCAAAGAAATAACCAACGGTTTCCAAATCCTCTACTGAAGCTGAGTATAGAGCGGTTGTCTATACGGTTGCTGACACCTTACATATCCGCTCCTTATTATCTGAACTTGGTCTTGTGGTTAAACATCTGGTTAAGCTTATGTGTGATAATGTTTCTACCACTAATTATCTTACTGTTAATCCAGTTCAGCATGACCGCAGAAAGCATATTAAGATAGATTATCATTTTGTTCGAGAGCGGGTTGCACATGGCGATCTTATTGTACGATATGTTCCTACATAGCTTCAGCTTGCAAACATTTTTACTAAGGCTCTCTCTAGTCAGCGTTTTGAATTTTTAAGGGCCAATCTGCGCGTTGTATCCCCTGCACAGATTGAGGGGGTGTATTGATGTATATCTTATATATGGTTATTGATGTATATCCTAGGTGATATATGTGTTTTATATGCTATTTTATCCCCCGTCCCACGGTCATTTTTATGCATATTTGAGCTCTGCGGAGCTATTTTTAGTACTAATATGTAGTTTCGAGTGTTTTGTAGAGTTGACATTTGTTTTATAGGAATTTCCTCGATTGTTGGTTATTCCAATGGTTTTCTGGCTACTACGAGATATTGGAGCTTATGATCACATTCATGATCGTCTTTTGTAGCCCAAGATCGAGGATTTCAGTGATTAAGGGCTTGGTTTGTGGAATTGGTCCAAGTAATGGACCAAGGAAGAAGAAATTGGGCCACAAGCAATTGAAGCCCAAAAGAAAAAGAAAAGGTAAACTCGGCCAAGAAAAAGACCGGGCCTGATCGGGCGGCCTATAGCCTGATTGGGCGGATGCTTAGCAAGGCAGCGAGAAGAAAAAGGCGGGCCTGATTTGGGGGCCATCAGGCGCGTGTTTTTCCTAAGTGTTTTAAAACTTGTCGTTTTTGGTAATTTGGGGTTTAGTATTTAAACTCTTTTGTAAGCTTTTATTAGCTACGTTTTTGGATTACAATTTTCATTCTTAAGCTTTTAGAAAGATTTTAGTGAGAGATTATTGTTTAACTCAAGTTTTCCCTTTTAGTTCAATTTCAATTTTCCTTCATTCGGTATTATTTCTCGTCTCTTTTATTGCTTTGTTTATCGCTTTGATTTTAATCGCTTAGTTTATTTTTGCTTTGATTTCAATCATGTCTTCTTTAATTGCTTTGTTTAGTTTAGATTTAAATATGTGTGAGTAGTTTAATTCTAGGGTTCTTAGGGGATCCATAATTTAATATGAAGGGATAATTTATTTTGGTTGGCTATTGATATTGCATGATAATTTCTTATTGAATTGTTTTAATTCTTTGCAATTGGATTATGAATCGAGCAGATGTGATTTGATTGTGAATGTATAGAAATATTAAATTGATGAATCGAGCAGATGTTAATTTGATATTAAAGGCTATTTTAAATAGGAACTTAGGTCTAGTAAATTGCAAGAGCCCGTTAGATCTATGTTGATTAATAAATTGCGAGAGCCTGTTAATCATGTTATTTATGCAATGTCAATTGTTGATTGTTTGTTTTATCCCGAAGTATTAATTATTGGTGAACCTGCGACCCTAGGCTTTTTATTATTGATTATTCCCTTAGATTAATTCATACAAACCTTATTTGTTTCTTGATGATTTAGATTATAATATTTATTTAGGAATAGAAGAAAGTTGTTTCTCTATGTATTCGACCCTACTTCCCTATCTATTTTAGCTAGTGGTTTTAGGAATTACTTTTGATTAGGTGATACGACTTTAGCCTGTCAAAATTTGGCGCCGTTGCCGAGGAAACAATTTTATTTTTATTTCTAATTATTTTTGTAGTCTAGAGTTTTTTCCTTCGTCTCAGAAAACGTAAGTTCTTTGGGACAGTATCTTATATTTGTTGTTTAGTTCTTTGTTTATGCCCAGGTGTTCAAGATCAGGTTATATTCCATTCGATCTTGAGATCGGGCGCTCTTTTCATAGACAAAAGAATCTCTACAAACAAATACTGGTAGGTTCCGAGAATAACATTCATGTGGACCCTCCATATGATTCTAGTGACACAGAAGTATCTTCAGAACCAGTATAAGGGATGACTACTCAACCACCTCGCAAGCTCAGCGATTATTCGCAGCTGTCCCTGACGGATCTTCCACATCTTGCTCCTCCACCAGATCTCGAAGGAGTACAATTTTAGATCAAACCCCAGTTTATTACTATGATCGAAAGGAAGCAATTTGGCGGAGCTAAGAATGAAGACCCTAATCTTCATATCTTGGGTTTTTGTCAATATTGCAATACCATCAGACAAGCTGGGATCACGCAGGACCAAATCAGGGAGATTCTTTTTCCCTTTTCTTTGTGCGGTAAAGCTAAATTGTGGTATAATGGATTGAATAAAACTGCACTTGGTATTATTGACTTTAATTCTCTTACTTTAAATTTTTACAACAAATATTATCCTGCAGAGAAGACAACTTTGTTAAGGAGCTCAATCCTAAATTTTTCCCAAGAAGCTGATGAGTCTTTATATAAAGCTTGGGAAAGATTTAAGGATATGTAGAGAGAATGCCCTCACAATGGGATTTTACAGTGGCAGTTGATCCAAGCCTTTTACAACGGGCTTGGAAATTCTTTAAGATCAATCCTAGACTTTGCAGCAAACGGAAGATTTATGAATCTTCAAGAGGATGTAGCAGGCACTATTATTGAAGAGATGACAATTCATAATTCCCAATATGGGAATCCTAGAGGTTTTGCAAACAAAGGGAAACATCATGTCGACTCCGTATCCTTTGTGCAAGCTCAATTAACTTCTATTTTCCAGAAATTAGACAGTCTTAGTACAACTATTTCATCTTTCGTAGGTAATGTTTCTGCTGTTAATAATACTATCACTGATGCTTTTTGTGAAAATTGTGGAATTGTAGGTCATTGAGCACAAGATTGTAGGAGTTCCGTGGAGCAAGTTAATACCTTCCAAGCCTATAGGCAAAATAATCCATACTCCAACACTTATAATCCTGGTTTCTATAACCACCCAAACCTTTCTTACCAGAGCACTAATGTGCTAAATCCTCCACCTCCACAACAACAAGCACCACAACAAGCACAGCTGAAATATTACCAACCCCCTAACCAGAGAACCCAACCACAAACTCCACCTCCATTTACTGATCCTGCCTTGTCAGAAATCAAGACGATGTTAGCCAATATGTAGAAGCAGATGCAGAGTAAGGATGCGTAAATTGACTCGATGATAGAACATAATAAGATAATAGATACTAAGATTGCACAACTTTCCTAGCTCTACTCTGCAAAGTTGCCAGCAGGGAGCCCTACCATCGCAGCTAGTACAACCTACAGATCACGCGAATGCAATTACTATGAGAAGTGGTTCAAAATATGATGGGCCTCCTATGCCCAAAGATGATGAACCTATCATTACAAATATTGCTAATCCTGATTTTGTTATACCAAATACTATTGTTACTAGCCCT